GAAACTGACACACCGATTACGTTTAATTAAGAAGTATTTATTGTACCAAACACCCATGTATGTATGTGTGTCTGCATATGTGCTTAAAGCGTATTACATATTTCCATTTTCATTCTTGTACGTTTAAATAGACATAAATTTTGCCTTGTGTATTTTAACAATATAAATAACATTACAATATCTAATTATCGCGATATGAAATCCTATACTAACATTTGGTTAAATTATATTATTTTTTATTATACGGAGAGAAATTTGTTACAACTTAATTCACATTTAGTTAATAACTAGATTATTGTTAATAATGAAACATCGTTCGAAAATTGATTAACGCTGTTATTTATCGACATATAAATATATTAGCATGAGGAACATTGATCAAATTTATCTTAATAACATTAAATTTTGCTGTATAATTGTGCAATTATAAGAGATGCGTGCACATTGAAATTATTCTGATTGTAATTATCAAATTTTGACACAACTTACCGGACGGAGGAGAGGAAAGTAAGTGGAAGCTGAGAGGTGAAATGAGATACTCTCATACTCGCGTACATTCTCGTATAAGATCCGAATCGAAGTCTTTCCCACAGGGCTACAGGAGACACTTTCGAGATTACTTTCCTACCTGTCCGAAGCGAATTGATCCAAAAACCATACGGCACTTTCTGTCTGTTGCATTATTTTCGCCGAATATCCAATCGTAGTGAGAGCCGATGAAAAATTGCTTTATGCAATTTTAGAAATTGATTCCGTTAGTCTGTACATATCAATCTTCGACATTTGAGTGAATGCCAGTCACGTTATTTTTAACGTGATATAATCAATAACTGAAAAAGCTCCTAGGGAAAAGACACATTTTGTTCTTTCAACGAGCTCAAGCGGCAGTTTTTAACAGAAACTTTATTTTTTATATTATTATAATTGCTATCGCTATTATTATTATATTTATCTACTTAATTGGAGGATAAAAATATATACTTTATTTTCATAGGTCTTACGTCATAAAATACGTCTATTTTCGAGCAGTCTTTCCTATTGTAATGATTGTAATAGTATCAATCCTTTACATTTAATCCATAGAAATGTAATGTCTAATATTTTTTTCATATGTTTTATAATATTTAGTGACTAATTTTACTTTATATAAAAAATACTACGGAAAAGAATATAAATGTAACAATATTCGTGTTTTCAACAAAAGATATACAAAAGTAATAATATTCTTATGAGTATCCTAATCTGATGTAGTTCTTACGAGCGATTTGCCGTACGTAATTCAGGCATAATATCACAAGAATGAGCAGTGCGACTTGTAGAGCACTCGATCCACTAATTCAATTAAAGCCGTATAGAACATCAATTTTGATATTCGGGCTGTCAAGGAGTGTTCCGAACACGTTCGTACGACCAGTAATGGCCGCTTAGGGGTGGAGAATAGGAGACTGTACTAACTTCCGCGAGTCGATAATGTCCCATAATTAGTAACTACCAAAATGTCGAGGTAAGGGAGGAATACATATAGAGTTGGACAGCCATCGAGGGATCGCCGTATATCGAGAAGGCAATCATCGTCATGGTCGCCGTCAAATTATTTATTATTATTGCCGCTACCGTTCATTACAGAACAGAACAACTGTAATAAGCATCAAAGTCTCCTAATGCTTCGCCGGCTTAGTGGCAATGTAAATCCATCATACCATACCGCTATACGTCGCAATTGTCCAACTACGGATTAGACGATCGCGCTGTGTCGCTTCTTGACCAGGCTGGTCCCATCGCTACTGTACCCAATCCCAAGGAGAGAAAAAAAAAATAAATGGTACAGTAGCTGATTGATCGTTCACCGTGCGTCCGTCTCGATTCGCTGACCCCGCTCTTTTTCCAACTCTCTTTTTTAATCGCCAGTCATTTTCTCGCCGACTGCATCGATATGTACGCGCATGTAACCGCGCTTGCCTGCAGCGGCAATCCTCAGTTGAAATATACAGCGGGCCAAATGCCGGATTTGCAAAATCGCATGGGCGTAAATAACCGCGAAATGAAACGCAGAGAACCTGTTTGCCGGAATCCTCCGCTGGGATCGATGCACTTTGTTTTTTGCGGTGTGTCACTGAGAGAGGGGGGAGAGAGAGAGAGAGAGAGAGAGAGAGAGAGAGAGAGAGAGAGAGAGAGAGAGAGAGAGAGCGCACAACTTTAAATCACGAAACGTACTTTTTCTCGCAGTATGAATTTTTAACTTGCTGAAATTCTGTTTCAATAAAAATACAATTTAATTTTTCAATTGACTTGCTCATATTACTTAATACGAGAGAATATTCAAGGCGCAAAACCGTTGGCACAAATTTTATCGAGAGACGATCGGCCGTAAATTAATCATAAAATCGATCGATAAAAAATAATATGTGAAACGCCCTGCGGACACGTTTCTCTCACATGTTCTATTTATTCATTAGTTTATCCCCCATATACTGATGTGCATAGTACTCGTAGTTTTACTTGTTAACACCTACGCTTTAATGCAACCATAGCACGGTATGCAACAGCTCGTGACCACTTCGCATTCATTCGGTTTGCCTATCACGTGTGCCGAGCAGTGGGCGTACCTTTGTTCAAAGCAAGGGTATCATTGTCCTTATCAACTAAGCATAACAGAACCTGAGTTGAATTCAGCGTAATTTCGTTACAATGTTTCATTATGCATTTCAAATTTTTCAATAAAGATAAATCTCATCGGTTACGAACAAAGGCTGCTTTTAAATTGATAACGATGTTTCAATTTTTATCATAAATTAAATTCAAAACTGCATAATATATATGTTTCTATTTATCCTGATGGATTGCATTGGAATTAATATTTCCCAAACCATTTCTGAATAAGCCAATTCACATTTAATATTACTAAGTTTTATATCAGTTTGAAATTAATCAAAATCTGATCTTTAACAAGCTATTCATTTTGTTGAACCTAATCAATCTTCTCGATTTAATGGGAAGAACCGTAATTATATAACAAAAAGAATTATGTACAACAAGTTCAACATAGAAAAGCGTATCGAAGAAATATCGGCGAGGCATAGACCTTGTTGTACTCTTTTTTTCACGTCACGATGGAAAAAAGTTTGTGAACAAGGAACCGTGTAGCATTTGTCTCTTCTTAAGTTTGGCAAGAAGATCGATCGTTGCAGAACGAAAAAGGGGTCAGAGAAGAGAAACTGCCAGTACATTTTATTTCTAACTTTTCATTTTAAATTACGTCGAGGGCAAATAGCATACGAGAATACGTTATGTCAGTTAATAATTTTGATATATATAAAGTTTATTATTAATAGAACAACAAGCAAAAGATAGTCGTGTTATAAAATATTTGCAATCGATCTTTGCAATGTAGTATTAATTCATTACAGATCGCACGAAAACCGTTCTATAGTATATTTATACAAGCAGTAATTTTAATTAAAATCTCAGCGAATGTATTTTATGACATGTAACTGATTAAAGTTACCAATTCTAATTACTGCGGTAATACTTACCCCTTGCGCTAAAACTAGACGGAGACTAAAAGTTGTTGCTACACAATTATTTAAATACTTAATATTCATGCCATAAACACATAATAGATATATATTTGTGATAGACATTTAATACATCTATATTAATTATGTAATATAGAACTTAATATGTCACATATGGTGACTTCAAAGAGAAATGCTGGAATTATTTCCTCTTCAATTTCGCGCAACATGACACATATTAACCAATATCAATGTATAGTAAAGCCCTTTTAAACTTAACAATGGATACACGAATAATTTTTTAATTCAGTACATTGTCTATATCCAAGAATCAATGCAAAGCATGAATTACCCGTTTAATGATAATTCAATGGTAATTTAATTTGCGAACGTCATACGTTCTGCACAGTATTCATGTAGTTATTATTATTAATAATATCTTTTAATAAAACGATCGAAATATAAACATAAAGTCATTTCTAATATCATTAATATATAAAGTAAAATTGTACACATACACACGTGGGTACACGTACCTGTTTAACATATAAAAAATTATTTTAAAACTTTTGGACGTGCAAATTATTTAATACTTCATACGTAAAGAGATATTGTTTGTGTAACTTGTGAACATGTACATTTAATCAACTGATAAAAATTGCTATAATGAAAAAATATAACATATATATACAATTAATTATAAATTTACTTCAAAAATTCTGAAACATTAACTTTCATGTGCGCTCGTGGAATTATTTATAAAAACTAAAATAGTATAACATACGATGGGGTTTGCGAATATTTATTCGAAGAAAGTATAAAATGTATTTCACTTGATTTCATGAAATATGTCCCATGTGATATTACTCTCAGCTAAAATAAACAAATATCATTTCCTGCCGTAATATTATACGTGAAACATGTTTATTATAATGTGTCCTTATAACATGCTAATTTATGGTACATCATCAGCAGACAAAATTAACAAAATCGTTAAAAATGAAAATTGATAAATGCAATATATTTTCCACGGAAATTTATTATGACATTACTCATTCTCATATTAATTATAACTTAATTAAAATTCAATATATATAATTTATTGCAAATATAACCTTTCAATAATTTAAAAAAAAACTTTACACAGGAGAATTTAATAATTATCGATAACTATAATTTTCAGAAGCGTGGTTATGATTTTAATAAACACTATGTATTTGATAAGTATTTTAAGTTTCACACACTCATGCAAAAATAATTAATGACACTTACCTCTCACTTTACTCTTGCAGAAAAATGTTCTTTCCTTTCAACTTTTCCGTCTCAAGAAAACGCAGGAACATATAATAAAAAACTCAAATCTGCAACGTAAATAAAAGCATGTTAATAAAAACGTGAAATTACCGCGAATGCGTGAACATTGATTGCAGGATAATTAAATGTTTGGCTTATCGCAAGGATGTTTATTAATGAACAACGCGTACATAATGGCAGTCATGTACTCGATTTATTAAGATATACAGGCCGACAGTTCCACTATCTATATCTAATCGTCGGTGCGCTGTCATTCGAGGCGATGCACCCAGTACATAAAAATCGTTTGACATAGTGAAATCGTCGGACATGATACATTAATAACATTATCATAACTTAATTTGAGATATAGCTACGATCGCTGCAGCCTCTTTGGTATTCTACTAAACGACGTTATCGTACGAATACCGCCGTGTCGTCTCAAACAGTATATAATATTCACAACACTCGCCTTCTACACTCAATTTAACAAGCGCAGCCTCGAGTCATCTTCTCAAAGACGACGATCCAGACTGATCACAGCACAACGTATCTACAATATTTACAGAATTAACAGGGAAAGGCGCGTAACATGTCACATCCGTTTCGCCTGAGATCGAACGGCATGATGGGCAATTTATATACGATATGATCAGGTACAACGTAAGAGGAGATTCAAAGTGGTTGAAGCGTCGCGGAGCATTGCCTTCGTGCATGCCCATAATAGCCGCATACTCGCGTCACGCGATGGACAAAACGAGGAAGTGAAAAATAGGAATTTGCGCGAATATGAGTGTCGCTTTCGGAGATGCCAATCAATTTTCGAGAATAGTGATTCGAGAACGGGAGAGAGAGAGTGAGAGAGAGAGAGAGAGAGAGAGAGACATTTATATTACGTGTACGCCCTACATTCAACGTTAACCGTAACAAGAAGTACGCGCTGCACCTTTCCGGATTCCGGATTTCTGATAACCGCGATGGTGCACCGTGCGATAGAAACCGTACTTCGCTCCACCGAAATGTCATAATCGCGCAAAAAGAAGCCACGAAGCTCTCTGCGTCACCGTCGTCGATGATTCGAGGCTACTTGATGTCTAGCGTTAATTCTTTCCCCAGGACACGCATACTCGGGGCGCGAACTTACAGACCGGCTCCGAGTCGAGCTCTGTCAGCAGTCGCGCCCTGCAAAACGCATGTAGGACCATGCGCTCGAATTATACTTGCACTCCTTATCAATCGAACAGCTAATTACGAGATTACCGAGCGATGCGTCTCGACATAACTACAATCCGTACGTATGTGTATATATCTATATATATATTTGTTTATTTATAATTTTTTTTACGGTTTTATGCATACGTATATGTATATTTTACTGAATACAGTTCCCTTGTCTTTCTCGTGATATGGCGAAAATCCGTGGGAAACATAAAAATGTCGATGAGAAAGCACGTAAATCTGTCCCTCAATTCTTCCAAAAGGAAAAAATTAATTAGCGCCTTACGGTTAACGACCAAGAACGGTTATTGAACAATTTAGCGAATTACGGAAAAAATGACGCGACGTCTCGTTTCGCACGGTGTATCGGAATCCGATGGACATGAGTGAAAAATATATCAGGGTCAATATACTCGTATAGTTACGGATGGTCGAGCGGCGTTTCGGAGGAACGTTATATTAATACGCGGCCAATTGTGAATCGAGATATTTTCGGGAGCCGCGTGTGTCGCGCGAGAGAAATCTTATGGAGGTCATGCCGGAATGAGTCTGAGCGGGTTCGCCATTGCGTCGGGATTATCAAGCTCGCTAATCTAATCATCTCCGCGTCGATTAGTAGAAAAGATGAGGCGGACACGAGCGTGCGCGCCGGGCGGGGGATCTTCGGTCCTCGAGATGTCCGAAATTTCCAGCCGAGAACTCTCGGTTTCCTCGCCGCGGTCTAAGTGTATTCCCAATCCCCGAAGCTATTCAGCGCCCGGGATCACCCCGGTAGAGGGACATCGCGGGTGACGGGTCGCTCTCAATGTATGCGCCGCAGCATTCCTCCTTGACGTTCCCGTTCAAGAGAGATCGTCGAGACGGTCGCGAAACGCGAGAAGCTTGTCCGTATATAAGGGAACCGAGTCGGGCTGTCCTCACACGAGCGTCGATCAGTCGAGAAAGCCTAAACGTAACTTCGTACTCACCGCATATATACTTACACAACATATTATATATATATTCATATATTTATATATTTATATATATATATCTTCTTTACGCTCTTTTTCTCTCTGTATAAGTTTACTTTTTAGTACGAAAATAATTTCAAGCGCGGCCCGTTTCGTCGCACTCGTCCGTCATTTTCCCGGAGACGGTGCACCGGAAACCGATAACCGCGCGCGCACCGGTTGTCTCCGGCCCGGTTACCGACCAATAAACACTAGAACTGGAAGCCCCGTTCCTGCGACGTGAGAATCACCTTCGGATGGCCGGTAGCAGCAATGACAGCAGGCTCGAAGATAGGTGAAGGACGAGCCGCGCGCGATGGGACACGCCCGGGCTGTGGACGTCCGGCAGCTCACCCGGTGGCCTCATCGACGCCGGGCCGTAATCTCTATCGTAGTCTGCAAACAGACAAAACTACGCTGCGATTGTTCCATCAGAACGGGACACTTGTGCGGACATGATACAGAAACCGTTTCAAGTAAACTTTCTAATTTCTTCCCGAAGGAATGAGCTACGGGGGAAACAAAGTAAAGAAGAAGACTGAGAAATATGAGACACGAGATTCCTCTTTGATTAGTCCTTGGGTGCCGTTGTAAATTTAAATTTATAATTACAAAATAAATTTTTAATAAATTCATAAATAATTTAACATGTAAATACAAATGCTGGCTGTTTTACTTGAAAATCAACAAATGTACATATTCCAGCTAGGAAATTGAGTTGTGTTACACATCTTAGCTACTCAATTCTATTTCTCTCTCATATTCCTACGTTTTCTTCCTACCGGGATAATTGATTTACTGTTCTTGATGAGGCCAATAATTCAATAGAGACGAACATATGGAACCACCTAAAATATCTCTAGAGGTACATTGTTCTCTGTAAAATGCGTTACCGTAAAAGTTGTAAAATTGAAGAACAGGTAAAAGGTTTTTAACGAATGCGTGTGTTTAATGGATTTAGTCGGCGTAATGGCTGCGATTTATATACGTGATGAAATTCATTTGCGTGTCGGTCATAATAATATTATTTTTGTGATATAAATACATTATACAGTAGACTATTCAACTCGTTATGCGACGGAACAAGCAGAAGGTCGAACAAGAGGGAAATACGAGCGAAACAGTTATTCGTAAGTGTCTAGTTAGATAGCTCATACATACAAGCTGCGAGTTATTTTTGCTGATAGAGTCATTAAGTGAACAAGTTTTCAAAAATTGAACCGACTAATTTCATATGCAGTCAATTATAAATCGCTTCAGAATATTCGTCGCGAACATTTCTTCGATATAATATTTTTGCTGCAGGCTATTCGCTGGAAATGGACATTTAATCGATATGTAATAGTTAGAACCAGTTTAAATCTGTCTATCAACCAAATAACACGGACTGTGTCATCCAACTTACAACAAAAAGAAACCGTTATTAATCAAATATTGTCCTAATAGAAACACGAATTATTTATTCGTAATAAATCATAAATTATAAAAAACTATGAATATATTTAAAAATAAAATTTCAATTGCTCTTCGACTAACAAATATAAAATTTTTGTACTCGAGAAATAAAAAAAATGTCGTTTCTCTTACAACCGTAAGCGGAAGTAACTTCCGTTTGATTACATATCTGCGATAGAAATATAATCCTGAAGATCGAGTGTCCTTCAAAGGAGACAGTTTATTCATCAACCAAGAAGTAATATTCTTTTGCCCCGGTGAATGGAGTCAGCCGCGGGGCGGACGACCACCGGAATACCATCCGCACTTTGTATCACCGACCGCGAACACCACAACCGTCGACACCGCGTTTCAGAGCAACTTCTTGGCTGTATTTTCACGTAACGTGGCCGGCGCCACCGCCGTTTGCCAGCTGCGCGGCGCCCGGAACAAATAGTTGGTAGCGCTTGAGAATACGCGAAAATCGTCAAGCTCGGCGGCTCATTTCCTCGGTGGCCTCATTCTCGGCGCGACCGTATACATGCACGTACGGTAACGAGCGGATACGGAAGATAAATACGAGGAGTTGTTGCGGATAATGCGAAACGAGGGGGGGGGGGAGGGGGACAAAGAGAGAGAGAGACGGGAGTCGGGGGGAGAGCCGTGAGCCTCCCCCTCCCCCCTACGCTCGCGCGCGCGTCCGGGAATTAAATTCGAGCGAACTCTCGGTTCTACCGGAATTTCTGCGATGTTCAACTCGCACAAATCCCTTTTTAACGAGATAAAACCCTCGGCGATGAGGAGCGGCCAGGCCCCCGAGAAACGCAGGAAGGGTAAATTCATTTGAGATTAAATACATCCGACGTCTGTTAAATCGGCTCTTATCAGTCGTTACCATCAAAGAAACGCTGGATGAAATGTTACTGGATTAATTGCGGCGCCGCAGTAATTCGCAGATGTGTCTTGCGAGCTTTTTCATTTGTTATGTGGCGAGAAGAGCGATGAGACACTGGTGAGATACGGAGCTGCTAGGAGCTGCTACGCGAAGCGCGTCATGATATATCGCGCTTCCGGTGCTCGGCAGCTACACTTAAAGTCCGTAAACTTTAATAAGGTTGTTTAAACAAATTTTTACGCTCCGGTGCGCGAAAGAAAGTAATTTTCAACATGACTTTGCGAGCAAAACAAAATTATACATGCTTCTTTATAATCTCGTCTGATGATCGTAACAATGAAAAATAAAACGAGTGAAAAGTCCCGACACGTAGAACCGTATCAAGCGTGAATGAGCCCTTAGATAGATTTAATGATAAGTGTATTAATAAAAGAGGTAAGTTTATACACGTTAGTCTGAAGAGCGTATAAACAGTTATCGGTAAATTCTATAAATATCTACTGTATGAGATAGATTGAATGATATGCAGGCGTCAGAAACTTGAGAAAAAGCTCCATTTTATCTGATTAAACTCACATCTACCGACGGTAACTTTTATTGATTGTCCGAACTTTGATAAATGAATTGAAGTCGAATCAACATCGCCACCTGTGGCACCAATGTATAGTCAGTAATGTTATAGAAACGAATATATCAATGACGGTGGGCCATACATCAGAATGCACGATTATTGCGGTGATAAAACTTCATGACCTCGATTTACCTTAATGACTTCCACCCACGGCATTATCGAATAATCTAGGATCTATTCCCTTGTAACAAGTTGCATTTATTAACGGCGGTACTATCTGGATGAAACAAAACTTTTACTCGCTTCATGTAGTTTCACTTTCAAATTGTTCCACGGAAAATTTTTTAACTAGGCCATATTGACAAAACTGTTATCGCAGTACCTCTTTTAACAATTGTTATACGATACAACATTCCCGCAAAAATACACAGTGCGCAGACTGTAATAGTCCGAGATTTTATTGTAGAGATTAGTGTCAATTAATAAGTCAATCATTTTCTAAATTATTCTTCCAAGTTACCACTGTCCGTCCGTCTCGCAACTCTGATAGAGTTTAAACTGAAATCAATTGTTTTCTGGAGAATTTTCTCTTATTTCTCGGCGGGCAGATATTCGGGGCGTTTAGAACGATATTATCAAATTTTATACTCCGCAAAAAGTCAGAATGTAACGACTTGGGGAAAAATGTCCTTTTTTTCCACTTTTTTTCCTAGCACTGGCAGATAGTCGTCCCAAATGCAGGGCGTTTCTCGAGAGTAGTTCATCGTGCCCCTTGGCTTGCCCGCCAGAAACGGACGTCGAAACCGCACGTCCGTTCGGAAAAAGTTATTCCCACCTACCAGTAAAATCCACTGTACGTGACTTTCCGCATGGTCGGCGACAGAGCCATTTTCCAACACTTTAACAACATCTTTACTGGCGCTTTAGTCTATACATTCTCTTACCATTGATTATATTTCAGTGGCTTCGAAATCGCTTCAAGGTATTCGAACTTCTGATTAGTTACAACGAACGCTAAAATCGCCGGGCCACTTATCGAAGATACGTCAGTAACTTTTCCCGATTGATTTATAGCATAACAAAAATCACCCGCTGCACAAATTCCATTTTAATCGTATCAAATGTAATGGATAACATTTAGAAGTTGTTGTCTCTCATCGGTATAATCTACATAAGAAAGTGACACAAGAAAAGTTTGCCCCTTTGAAGAAATTAATTTTTGTAAAATAACGTGTTGCAATAAAATTTCTTTAATTAGATTTAATAAAGTGTGTACTATTAAAGGTTAAAGTAAATGGAAATTAAAATGTAAATCAAAATCATTCCATGTAATTTGTAGTAATTTAAATTCGCGAGGATTTTTTGTAAAGAGGATATTAATTGTTTCCACAACAACAGATAAGAAGCGATTCACTGCAAGAAACAGTCGGGCACAGTGTACAAATTACAATGGTACGCACACGAGGTAAGAAGTCAATCGATTTTTAGAGAAGAGAAGGAAAAGACATAAAGTGAGAGAAAAAAATAATGAAGGAGTTTGCCTCTCTCCATTTCCTCCTTTCCACTTCCTGATACCGGAGGCAGCAGACGGCCGCGGGTCAACGCAGCTCGTTTTTCATTAATTGAAAGTAAACTTCAGGAAGGGAGAGCTGGCCCGACGCTCGGGGGAATCTTTGAACAAAGTCATTCCAAGTGAGTTTTGAACTTGCATTCTGCCGCCAATCTCCGTCAGCTGGCTTGTATAATATAAGGATCTGTGAAGTGCTTCAAGTCTTTAACGCGCGAACTCTACCTTTTGCAATAGAAATTCGAATCTATGAAAACATCGCGGGAAACGATCCGTGTAACAGATTTAGACTCTAAAACTTCTATGTGCTTAACTATAACTGCCGTTGCTTGAAAAACACGTCAAATTTTCGCAATGCGAAGCAACAATCCTCTACTGTATTTGTCGAGGCATGAAATGTGATTGAATGCCTCGTGGAACACATCAACTGTTATGTGGCTGAAATTCAGAATCTGGGGATAATAAACTTGTATGTGGGATTTACGCGAAAATGTTTCGAAGGACATCTTATAATCCCTTACAGCTTAAACCTGATCAATACAAGGCCATTTGTAATAGAGCGCAACACAGTACATACAATAATTTTGTGTACACAGAATTATAATAATATACAACTGCAAACCTTTTGATATTTATAATAAAGGAAAATTATTATTATTCAACATTTTTCGATAAAAAAATTAATTAAACTCAGTAAAAGAACAGAAAATATCAGTCGCTATTGTGTACGTGTGTGTGTTTCTTTTTTTTTTCTTTTGTTATGGTTGAGCAAAAGCTTCCGTCGAGACTTTTTAACTTTTCAATCTTTTTATTTACGGTCAGCTTTCATTTAGATTCGCAAAAAATTTCACGTGATTATTGACTTTCGCTCAATAAACTTAAGCAAACAGCCAGTTAACGTACATCCTCACATTGGATTTTACGACAGCGAAGGAATGACCGCAGAATCCTTCCCGGTCAATAAAAGGGGCCGAGTAACGCGACGAAGTAATTCGCTCGCGGATAAAGTGGATCACCGAGCATTGCCAATTTAGTGGATTTTCCTCTCTTAGGCTCTTTCCCCTCCCACCCGATCGTACAGCGTTGACGAGGTTTTAATTACGCTAATTACTCGAACGACATGGCGGTTGGACGGAACGTGTATCGTCGTGGGAAATGCCTGAGCTCTACGCGGAGCGTGTTAAAATAGATATTTACTGACCTGGATTTCGCCATTCCTCGACCTCGTAGTCGATAGGTCGTTGTCGTGATTTCTTGTTACTGTTTCTACCTAAAATGCATTACACAAAGGCGGTTTTACATTGGTGCTCTACGGTAGGCTGCTGCGAACGAGGAGTGGAAACGGATGGTTTTACTTGGGAATCGAGAAATAAATAAATGCCGGTTTTCTCTTTCTCTCTCTCGCTCTCTCACAGAGGTTTCGCTCGGTCCTGAGTTAAAACGTTATTCTACCTAATTTCGAGATCCACATTAGACGCTTCCGGCGGTTTAAGGTAATAACTGCATTACCTTACGGCTTAATTTAGATCACGGTGTATCTTTTCTACAGCTGTCCTACGCATACACGTACTTGTCGTATGTATAACGAATACAGACATAAATTGAGGAACAATATCCATATTTAGATAGCTTTAATTACCATTCTTGTGCGCTGATGTTGCGTAATACGGCGGCTGTGTCGTGGACGTTGTCGACGGAGCTGGGATTTCTGCGTTAAAGTAAACAAGCGGTGTATTTTAATGCTATTTAAATTCACGCGAGAATGTATAAGATTGCAGTCTGACGGATGTAAATGATACTGGAGATGGACACAAATATGTTGAGTATCATCACGGCGCGGAAGTTTGCGCTAGATTTCATGATTACTCTTCACAAGTCCGCGATGCTGAGACACGTTGAAGCGGTCTACAATTGTTTTCGCGTGGGTGTCGTCGGTTAAACTAAACAAAACTTCCCTTTCTACTCCACTATTAGCGTTGTCAAGAAAACAACACATTTCGGAGTTTCGCCGTGAAACCTCACCAACTCCCACGTCCTATTACGTCTATCCATTTTGCTTTTGCGTATTATTCGAAATTGGAATTTTCGCAATTTGCAAGTTTTTACATTTTTCAATTTAATAAAACGAAATCCTTAACAGAAGCGGCTTTTGATGATTGCATTAGGTCATATTCGATTGATTACATTCGATACAAATTTAACGAGCAATTATGATTAATGCTCGTGAAAGAAGTGTACTCAATCTCGTCTATTGCTCGTTAACGGCGAAGGCTCAAACATCTTTAAGTAACTGACTATTGGAAACCAATTATTTCACCATTAGCGCGCAGACGTCGACTTCGAATAATCGATTCTAAATAGACCACAACGCGATATCACTTTGCTCGATACTTTTCAATGCGCGACGCTAAACGTTTTCACTCTACGAGGATATCTTTATCGAATTTTACTTTGCTCTTATTCGCATCACGCCAGATCTATACCGGTATCCTTATTATCGTTGCACGACTTACCATCTAGCTTGATGACACCGTCCGTTCCGCCAAGAGAGTTTTGTGCGACGCATTTATACGAACCGAAATCTTTCGGGCCGACATTCCTTATCTTTAGCATCATATATTTGTTGTAACCACTGTCGGTGGCTACCGCCTCGTACTTGTCGCCTGAAACAGAATTGCCTGTGCCAATAAAACCAGGTTCTCCGGCTTCCATTTAAAATTACAATTGTGAAATTGTGAAATTGTGATAAGAAAAGATTTTTAACGCGTGTCGGAATGTACATAACAGTTTTTCACACTGTGACATACTAATAACGACTTTGTTTTTATAACTGTCATACTTCTTCAGTGAGTAGAAAGTTTGAAATGTTAAGTGTGTAAATAAGCTTGAAAAAAAATGCTATTTGACATTTATTTCTGAAATAACTGTGGTACACAATTTTATAAATAAGCAAACGGGAACTTAAATATTCAAAAATGTCAGTATTGTGAATTTGGATATTCTTGTTGTATGGTTATTTTCATAACAAATTTGCAATAATATTTAAACGCGCTAAAGTAACAGCAAAAATTCAACGAAAGCTAAAACGCTATTTCTTTTACTATCTGAATTTTAAATATAAAATGGTACCAAGTGTCAAATATGCAATGACCGATAGTGGGGAATATGTGCATTCAAATTCTTAAAATTACCAGAGACTATCATGTCGCCGCGTTCGGTTGTCCAATAATTTATCGAGTTCGGATAAGCTTCGGTGTGGCATTCAAGAGTAACGTCTTGTCCAATATACGCTCCTTCCAACTGATTTGGTATAGAGAGCATGGGTGGGACTGTAAGATAGAAATGATATTCACCATGAATTATGTATATATACTTTCCAGTTGCTAGGTACGATGGGACGCAATGAATAAATTTGCATTAATAGGTATATATAAGACAAAAGTAATTATGGGAAATGCGAAAATATTTTAGAGTTTAAATTGATTATAACAACTGAATCAACTAACGATTATTCGTAAAGACCCGCCGAGTACGTTTTATATAATTACATGGTATATTTGTAAAATACAAATGCAGCGCAATACTGCAAGTAACCAACGGAAATTATTATCCAGCTTGAGATTAGGTCAATGAAGTTTAACGCTGAAGCAGTCTGTTAAATGCTAATCAGCGAACTCATTAAAATAATGTAGAAAGCTTGTACAAATATGTATTTAGAATTCTTTTTTCTCTCTAAGTTACAAGTCGTTTTTGACGTCTGAAAATTCAGTGGAACCTCGCCAAAAAAAAAAATTCGGTCAACGCGCAGTATTGCATGCAACTATATATAGGTACATAGGTATATAGTCTCTCATCTTTGCTTTGAAGGTTGTCATGACTTAAAAGCATTGTCCAAAAATAGACGATTGCATGTTGTTACGTGCAATGTAACTGCACGTTGGCTTCAAAAAGAACTTTCCTACTGGAAGGCCAAAAACGTTTGCAACATAAAGAGAGTCTTCTTTTCGATATTTATCTTAATTTTGTTCATTCTTTTAATGAAAAAAAACCTGTTTCGGTAAAAAATCTCATTTCCGATATCTTTTAACTGCAAATTTACAAGTATTATTGCTACTTGGATTATTTTTTACAAATTATATTTCGCCAATATTCTAATAAGAAAGAAATCTTTCGGGTACAATTAAATAAAATTTTGTAAGAAATTTTCTTAACATTAAATTCTCAATCTTGCAAGAAATATGCATACTTTTATTAAACTATCGGCTTATCATTTTGCTAATTAAGTTTTATCTTATAGACAAGTACTAAAGAGGATGTATCATTTTATATAAAAATTTAATCAGTATTGGTGTATCGTGAGTACGCGACTATTTCTCTTCGATCGATATTGATACCTCGATGCATGGATAGGGTCGTGTCATAGTTTTGTCTTTTACGGACGGACGTAAATCGCGATTTACTAGCAGAGAGTGCACTTTCAACGGCGCTACAGAGAATAGTTTTTCCATCTATCTCCCTTCCCAACCATCCTTCTGAGCCATCAATAAATTTGTTGATACTAAACGAGACTGCAGTTTCATTGCATAGCATTCAATACATAATTTAAAAATATGATTTTTACTTATTGAAACATTCACTTACGCGCTGCGACATATTTAAAAATTGTTTCACGCTGCTGTAACGCTTAACATTTATAAGTATTGAATCAAGAACACTGATTCGACAAAAGGTAAGTATATATTATATTTATGGTATATGTTTGTACTACAATTTATATTGCCTTCAGATTTTAATTTTTCCAGAAGTGAAACCATAAAAATTTTTTTTCGTATAATTTCGTGTAATCAACTGTTGCTGGAATGTACAGCAAATCTTAATATAAATTGTATTATAATTACACACTGAGCACAATAATAGTAGCACTTCTAATGCACTAGAGATTAAGTCACTGAAAAAGTTGTTAGACGACATATTTCTGTGATGCACGACCGGTATTAATTCATGCCATGAGTTAGTAATATGCGTTTATTATGCAGCACGTACCGTCAGCAGATCAGCATCCGGGAAAATATATGTACAATACGCCATATAATATCCCTCAGAAACTCGATGAAGAAATACTATGCCACGTGGGTCGCGTGTAAGTGGTCAAATAGTTGACCCGTGACTCTCATATGGAATCGCCGCTCGAATTTTCCGGACAATTATTAATATTTGTGCTCGCTTGCAAGAAGGAAGAGGCGCAAAGGTGGTAAACTAATGCGCCAGAAAAGACGGCGTGGAGACGCGTTTCGCACACCAAACTTACGTAGAACTCGAGAATTGTCGGTGAATGGGCGACGGTTGAAATGGCTGCGCGGGGAGGAACAAACGCATATCGACCATATCTGGGTCAAGTAGCCGCCCATAAATCGGTGGCTAAATGAGACGTTGAAAACCGACCTAATGCATGGCGCATCGCGCGAGGATGCCTCTACGGATGAGGAAACAACCAGTCTTCACCGAGTTGCAGTGGTGCTCGTTAAATACGATCAGTCCACTCACCCTGCTTCTACATAAATAAACATGTTTATCTTTTATACAACCATCGATATTCCCTCTCAAATTTTCATAATACGATGTAAAACACTACAATTTAAATTACACCGCAGTATATGTTAATGCGTGGCTCAAATTCATGAATGATTATACAAATTTGCTGTCTGGCCTACACATAATTATTTTGCACGAACGAACGCTTATAATGAATGTTTAAAAAACATGTAGTTTTAGTCTTCTAGAGAGAATTGTCACGAAAATTATAACTTTTATTTGATGTTACGTCGTGAACCCTGTAATACATTGTCGAATCTAGGCACGATAGAACATGAAATACTACAAGGTATTTATAACACGACAAGGCTCGTTGGAAATTATATACAACGCAGGCGTAATGTCGAGAGATTAATAAAAACTAGTTCACGAGCAACGATATTAGCGCAGTTCATATATCAAAGAAAAGTAGTGGCTTTATTTCATTTCTAACGTTTATGAACCACGTCGAGTTCATTAAAAGTATAATATATCCAACATCGTGCTTTACTACTTCCAGCGACCAGCATTTACCAAGTTACGCGCGCCTCGCAATCGGGTGAGGGGGGAGAGGTGATAAAAACGGGTTTCTCTCCATCATCCTTTCTTATCATCTTTTCTTGTACAGAAAAATACGCCGGTATCCTTACGCGACAATAGTCGCTCCTACCTACGTTTTATCCTACCCTTATCATAATACCAAAGTGCATAGTATTACGATGACATCGTAGTTTTCGCTAATGGCATATAGATATGGAGGAATCAATAGTGTCAGCCCAAATCCAGTATTCAATAGTATGATATTGATGCAAAATCAATATAATCTATACCGAATAAATCCCTAAAAATACGTATGTCCGATATTGGTATTTACATTGTAAATACAATAAAATAAACGGAATCATGTGAATTACGTAAATATATATATGTGTACTGTTTTAATTGTTTTTCGTACATTGATTGATTAATTTTCAAGAGTCAAGTCACGGGAAAGTATAATAAAAAGTATAATAAATTTTAAAAAAGTATAATAAAATAAGTAAAACTGGACCGATATGAATCTCAATTAGGTGGAGAGAAGCGTCATCTTCGAGAAAGTGTCACCTTCTTCAGACGCAGTTCTCCGGAGTGGAATAATAAATCCACCACTTAAATCAATTTAATTATGTGGATTTACTGTTCCACCGTAGAACCACATTTCAAGAATGACAAATCAGTATGCAGTTTGCTGGGTTTGAAAATATACACAGAATTCACATAGAAAATATGAATAGGCTACCAGAGTCAAGCCCGACCGAAAGTATTTCTCTTTCTACTAAATTAAAAAAACTATTACTACTAAGTTGAATTGAGAAAAATACTTAGTGTGTAAAATTTATTCAATAACTTGAATATTGAAAAAGTACTATGAAAATATAAAACATTGAAAGTATATACTTCAGGCATTTTAATTTATGTTCGATCCGACACGATCCTGCGAAGTTTCGATTGGTTCAGTTTCGAGATACTCACGCTGGAAAATAATTCCCACAAACTTTTTCAATCAGAGAAATCAATATTAAAATCGCTGCCTTTGCGAACTATTGGTTTTATCTGAATTCGTTAGGTTAATGGCCGGTGGACGGGCACGTATCCATCGGTTTACGAATATTTCGAAATGATTCTCCGATCGGTATTTATAAATAAATACTACATTGTACGGCAAATCTTTTGATATTACTTGGCGTTTTTACTTTTCATTAGAAACTGTATGACTGCGCGCAATTCCTGCCTTTTATTAAGAACAGCATCCATTATTCATATTACGTTTATGTGTACTAAATTTCAAGGAATGTTTATGCGCGTGATGGAAATTCTTTGATAACGTGGGAAAATTAGTAACTTACATTGCACACGTAGCGAGACGCGTTTGCTCACCGATGGCGGAACGCCGTTTGAAGCTATGCATAAATAAGCCCCCATGTGAAGACGGCTTATCTTGACGATATGCAGCACTTCGCCATCCACAACATTCACTGGAACATAAAATGTTCACATATATTAGTATGTAAACTGCAAAAGGTTTAGGAAAATGCATTTAATATAGCTTTCCAGCATTTTCAGTTTTTATTGCAACATAAAATGTTTGCAAATAAATTTCTGTGTGAAAATACACAGGGTTGTAAACTCGGCTATGAAATCTATAAGCAATTAATTAATAATCGAATTTCGAATTAAACGATACTTTTTAATTAAAACGTGTTTTGCGTTGTAGATAGCAGATCGCTGAAAAATCCTCATATCATATTCTGGGCAAAGTAATTATTGTATAATATGTAATACAATTTTGCGAGCGCAGCTCGCCGCAGTTGTAATTCTTCGCACGAATTAATAAGCGTAGCGCGATAATATCGGCATTATTCCGAAACCTATAGATATCGATAATGTCGACAAAGAAAGCAGCATTCACCGAAGCGCAGGCCGCTGAAAGCGCGCGATGCGCATATGCGTCGAAACTTTTATTGCATGTCGTGCGACAAAGAGCACTTTGCGCCTTGCCGGAGAGCTATTTGCATCTACGCTGCATTCATTTCTGGCATGTTGGTTTGATATGCCTGGCGCAGATGACATAAAGCAGATAGGAGGTAGATTAAACTCTGCGAAGGCGAATTACGTCGGTACTTTGTCACAAGAGCTGTTTAGACATTAAAGACAATCGCGTACCCATAATCGCATTATTGCCACCGATTTCGTTCGGCGGAGATCTCACAATCAGCAGCAATAATACCCGACGCATGTAAGCAGCGTATGTAAGTTGAACTGCCACTTGACGATAAATGCTCGGAAAATATTTGAAAAATCAAATATTTTTCCCGATCAACGGGAAAAATGGAACCTATAAATATTCATTAGAGCAACGTACTTTCCGTTCCATGGAAAAGTTAATAAATTTCACCTTACACATTTAAAAAGATGGCATGATTCTGATTACCCTCATGATGCATGACACAAACGATAATGCCATACGCATGTTATAGCTTGACGTATTTCTTTATTCTCATTTCGAGAGCGATTACACAGATAACGCATCGCGTGCGCGTACACGTATATCGAGCCAGACCGACGTAAAGCGGATCGTCATATTAACAGGGAAACTGCTGTATTTGATAGAATGATCTATGCGCTATCTCGCTGTCGCCACTTAATAGATTGCACAGGACATATATATTTTACCTGGATATAGAAATCACATATTCAGCGAATGTGTCGCATATTTTGATAGCATCGATCGACTGATTTTCCATATTATACAAGCTGTATACGTTATATCATACGACTTAAAATGCAGGTAATTCGCGTAATATGTAGCGATTAGCCGAGCACTTTAGAACAGATATAGAAATTAATTTCATTCTAATACAATTGATTTAACAATTTCAAGTGATCAAGTGCTTTCAAGCTGCTATCGTTCATTATGTATCCTCGTTACTATACCATTTATACTTAAAGTGGAATAATTCGCGAAATGGGGTTGATGGTTTTTCTCGTTGCTATTTAAGTTAGTTAAAGCTGACATTTTAGGAAAACAACATGAAATATAAAAGAGACAACATACAGAGATGGAAAACGTATTTAAGTTTTTCCTTGTAATAAAGTTGAAAGTATGAGAGACACGAGAAACTTTACGTCCGTTTGACCGAACTGCGTAGGAGCAATAAGACGTTATAAAAATACACGAGTTGCTACAAGTCATGTGTGGCGTTTTTAAACATATCACGCATTTTGATCCAAGCTAAGAATACTTGACGCTTATCTACTTTGTAATATAATTTTGTTAAAATTTAATTTAAACACACAGTAAAAAATCGTGTGTTTAAATGTCAAAATTTTCTTGGCGTTACCAAGATTTGATTATTATTTTCAATGTAAAATGAACATAAAACAGATATGTTATTATATTATTTTTGTAACACTTTTATGTGTCATATTTATATCAACCTAATAACTTGACACTTTACATATGTCATTTAAAAATTGAATATTATTTTGAGTTCTTTCAACACAACTTTTCACAAACCAAAACATGTAATATCGACATATTTCTTAAAAAAATATTTTAGCTGTTTCTAACTATTCGTACAGTTTACTTGTCCTGTCTGTTTTTATTACACCATACTTAAGGTTTAAAAAACATAAACATAAATGTGAAGTATAGTGTTGTAATAAATTAATTAACATTTATAATTTGTCAAAAAGTAACACACGCGATGAATGTTATTTTAATTTAAATTTTAAAATAGACTTTTTAGGATATGTAAAAATGTTAACATTAACATTGTATTTTTTACTGTGTATGTAACGTAAGAATACTGTAATTCAAGAATTAACGATGCTTTTTAAATCAGCAGATAACACGATAACACTTGCAATATCAGACGTACACGCGTATAAAAATTACGCCCGTTGTTATTATCGCGTATACTTATCGCTTTTACACATTAATGCCTTGCCATGCGTTTCAATTACATGTAACATAAGAATACTATAAATAAAAAATTAACGATGCTTTTTAAATTGGCAGGTAACACGATAACACTTGCAATATCAGGCGTACATATGTATAAAATTACGCGCGTTCATATTACCGCGTATACTTATCGCTTTTACATATTTATGCGTTGCCACGCGTTTCAATTACAAAACTCGCGTCGGACGAAAATAAAAATTGCAGGTTATTAAATTTCGCCGCACAGCACAGTTGAAGATCTCGCTGCTGAAAGGGAACGCAACGTATATACACGTGATGCAGCGATGAAAGCGGTGAAAGGGATAAAGTTGTTACCCGGGCAGCAGTAGGATGCGAGAGGGTGCTGAATCCTTGGTAGCCGGCCCCGTGCTACAAGCTGCGCGGCAAACCTATCTATTGTTCCATAAACAATGCAGAGTGCCGGGAGATTCTGCCCGACGGGTCGCACTTTCAGGGGATTTTAATCAAGTAGTCCCGCAGGCCTTGTGTCGGAACTACTCGCTTACCGGTTTAGCGGAAACCTTTAAAACTTTCGGCTTAATGGGAAACCGCAATATGGCCCGGTCGGGCGGGATTTCACGCCGCGGCAGGCTCGAACAAAAGAGAACGCGGACAATTATTATTTTCGGGCACGTCCAAATTTTATCGCCCCCCCCCCCCACCCCTCCCCTCCTACCCCGAAGCGATTGAGGTGGCTCAATTTAACTGCGGCGATCTGATTATTTCACGGTAGGGCGGCGATCGATGCCAGTTAAGATTAGACTATGCGCCATTATCATATCGCGTGAGCTCAGGCGTTGTCATGTCACGTTACATTATGAATAACGCTATTAATGGAGTTATCGCCGGCTTGTGATTCTCTTCTAATTATTTTCGTACCTTCTATTCTATTTTATTCGTGAATTTTTGCATTTTCCATGGTTTTCCATGTGTGTGTCACGTATGTATGTGTTGTCAACCTGCAATTCCACTTTATCTATTTGGCCAATTAGTACGAAAAGAATGAGAGCGTTCGAAATGCGAAAAAATTGCTAGGAAAAAAAACGAGGTAAATAATCAAATAAGCTTTTCATCGTTATCGTGCAAGAATAAAATATTTGTCTAACGTTCATATAATGCAGGATGCAGAGGGAGAGAGAAAGAGAGAGTTAGGCGTCTGCCGCGATATCTACATATTACGTGAATATTACGTTCATATATTAAAGTTATAGACATGTACTTGATGTACGTGTCTATAATACTACGTGATATTGCCTGCGTCGACCTAGAAAGATCAGCGCTCCAGCTATAACGTTATTAAACTTCGGCAAAATTGGTTCCCAATCGTCGGACTTGATAAAGTTTCGCGCTGCGCGCGCGTTGCACCGGCGAAAATGTTTCGAAATTTTCACGGGACATTACGCGTCTGCGGGTGACGTGAAATCTCTCGGGGGAGGCTCATCCGACGTCGTTTCGCTAAACGGCGAATGTGCGTACGGAGGCAGAGGCTTGCGCACGGATGCACCCCCTCCGAAATATAAATTAGCGTCCATTCACGTCGATGCCGGGGTGCGTGCTTTGCATAACGTTTCCCGCGGCGTATTCTCGGCGGCGTAAAAATAAGCGGAACAGCTTACTCGAAGACGAAGTGGAGGGTCGGCCACCTATTTGGGAATTAGTACGTGATGTATTCCGGCCCATAAGCGAAGGATGGGTCACAGATATTTCATCCCATCCCCCTTTCTTGTAGCCTTAAGTGCCCTTTTTCGCGTTATAACCGTGAGATAACCCGGGTACATTCATTTCCGAGCGAAATCCTCGGCCAACGATTATTGCTGCTAATGCATCCGCGAATGTTGGACCAGACGTACGTAAGTGATTCTCGTGTATTTATTGCACCGCCCGCGAAAACGCTTTCACAGGCGTGTTAAGCGACGACGAATATGTGCAATTATATGGATTATGAAACAGTGAAAGAGCAAACACGCTTTCAAACAGTTGTATCTTTCAAATTTACCTATCTCTCTTGTATTCTATAAAATAATTAAAGTAAAATATATTTTTATCCCCTATACGATCCACTTTTTTTTCAAGCGAAAAATAAAAAGAAGAGCTCACTACCTCGAAACACCTGGAATTTCCAATATGCAAACGCAAACGCTTGAATGGCTCACATGTTAACAATTTATGTACATGCTAAGTGGTATGCGCGAGAGCTACAAATGTTTCATTACATTTTCCAGTAACTATTTGTTTCGTGCGTAAAAAGACATAAATGTCCACAAGTTCCAGACAAATTGCGCGAATAGTTGCGCACGATGAGAAATAAAATGAAATGAAATGAAATCGCTCGTTACTACGGCCCAGACTCGGGGAAACATCAGCGATCGATTGTCATGGACGCTTGACGTCACGAGGTTTGAAAGACAAATTACGTTTGCAGTGCAGCATTGCGTAAAGCGGATGAAAGACGGAGCTATTATATTCCAGTTTCCAGCGAGAAATTTCTCAGATAATATTGACTTCGTG